ACTTCTCCCTTGCGTTTTCCATGTGAAATCCTTTATGCCAGTGACTAATTATGATCTCCCTTGCAACTTCACATCTCTGGAAGACAGATGTTGCTTACCAGAGCAATGCAATACCAAGAGAAATATGGCTTTGATTTAGAGGTAGGAGTGAGAGGGAAGAAAGGAATTGAAGGGGAAGGAGATCAAATCATATTCTTTGGATGATGTTGGGTTTCTACTTAAAAGGCTGCATTTATATGTTGGTAAAGTGTGATCTGGTTTCCTTATAATTAAGCCTAAAATGTTAAAATATTTTTCCTGTATACATATACTGTGTTTTTTAATATATAAGGTCGAGTGGGGGCTTCTTTAAGGTCTTTCTGTTTCTTATTTACACCAGTTTAGACTAGGGTTGTAAAATCCTGTTTAAATGGTTAATCGGTTAAACATATTGTTTAACCGATTAAAGTGGGAGCTGGGTACACGACTGTAGCAGTCCCCCCTGCCACAGGCAGGGGCTGCACGGGCTAGGTTGGAGCAGCCCTTGCCACGGGCAGGGGTTACTTCAGCATACTACTGGAGCAATCTTGTCTATGGTGAGCAGCCCCTGTCCGTTTGTGTAACCCGCACACCTCGTGTGGGTCACTCACCAGTGCAGTGTCACGTAGACCACTTACAGCAACAGATAAGAACAAGAGACCTCCACAGCCTAGGATGAGAAACAGCAGCCTAGGATGAGAAACAGCAGGCTTTATAGCTCAAGCTGTAGAGGCTCCTGTATTAAGCCCTGTGGTGGTTACATTTGTGCAGTTGGGTCCAAGCTCATTGTGTCTGGGGGAGGTGTTATTGCACTAAATATGTTTAATTAATAATACACATCCCTATTTCTTTTTTCTATCACTACAGCACTATAATTTCAGAAGTAAGGAAGGGGTATAAAATCCACTTTTTCCTTAGAAACAGGCTTTTTTTTTTTAACTTACATCACTGTAAATCAAGAGTGACTCCACTGTAGATAAGGGACACACACACACACACACACAGTCTCTCTCTCTCTGAGAATTTTTAAAGAATTTCTTGGAAGAATACCCTCCAGAGAGCATTGTGAGGAGAACACTCTGTCTTTTATTGTTGGACTGAATTGAGCTGGACTCTGTGCTGCAGGAATAAACACCAACTGCTTCTGTTTTGAAAGACCTTTCTTCCTGCCCTCTTTTTAGAAAGTCATATCCTCACATAATTTGAAATACAATCTTCATGTCCTGATTAATGATACTCATTGGGGCTGCATCCAGCTATGTTCTGAGTACACCTGCCAATATCCAGCCAACCACTTAAGCATGTGCTTAAGTCCCTTCGATTTCATGTTTGTTTTGCTGGGTCAGGGTCAAAGCACTAAGCATAGGGAAGCCAGGTGTCCGGTATTTGCGGCATGTGTGCGGTAAAAACAACTCAACAACTTTTTTTGTTTTGTTTTGTTTGTTTTTGGCTCAACCAATTTTTTCCCCGCAGTGTTTGGTATTTTTCATGAAACTATCTGGCAACCTAACTAAGCAACTTGCAGGATCAGGAATTCCATATTATGAAATAGTGGAGGAGAAGGATACACACACACACACACACAGACACACACACACACACACACACACACACACTCTCTCTCTCTCTCTCTCACTGAATAGAATACAGGCAGTCCCCGGGTTACATGGATCTGACTTACATCGGATCCCTACTTACAAACGGGGTGAGGCAACCCCGCACTAGCTGCCTCCCCCCAGCAGACCAGGGAGACGCGAAGCTAGCGCCCCACCCCCCCCAGCAGACCAGGGAGACGCGGAGTGGCTTTTCTCAGCAGACACCTCAGCTTGAGAATTAAGGACTGAGGGAAGTGAGGTGTGGGAGAATAAAACTGAGCTCTGGAGAAATGTTTGGCTAGAGTTTCCCCTACAATATGTACCAGTTCCGACTTACATACAAATTCAAATTAAGAACAAACCTACAGTCCCTATCTTGTACGTAACCCGGGGACTGCCTGTATTCAGGTTTTAGTACGTAAGATCTAGCAAAAAGCAGCTTCAGCCTCACAATGCCTGATCTTGCTTTTTGTTGGATTTTGTCCTCTCTGTTTCATGTGTCACTTCTGCCTGGTCAGTCAACAGAATTCACCTTTGTTTTCTGGCTCAGTCTGGCTTATGCCTCAAAAAAAGAGGCATACAGATCTTGCGCAAAAGAGTTTTTTGTGCAAAACAGATCCATCTACACTGCTAGTTTTTGCGCAAAAAGCCTCGGGCAGGGATTATGCAAATGAATCATGAGAAGGTGCTAATGAGCACTTCCTTAGCATACTCTCTGCTGGCAAAAGCTAGCAGTGTAGGCATAGCTTCTGTGTTTAGTGGACCTGCAAAGTATGTCTTTCTGCAAGCCTTTTCAGGATGCTGCTAAGGATCGGGGAACTAGATAAAGCTTTTGAGACCAAAAATGCAGTCAATGATTAGGCTTGAACAATATGAGGAGAGTTCAAACTGAGATAAAATGGCATAGAAAGAAACAGGTATTAAATCAACTAGGAATAATTTACAAGTGGTATTTATATGGAGTGTGCATTTGCTGCAAGCAAACACAACATCCTCAAGAGGAAAAGAGCTGCATCTAATGGAGATTTTGCGAAAGAGTGATGGAAAAGTGCACAGTTGCTGATTCATCTTCTCTGCTGGATGGTATAACATAGAGAACTTACACACTGACTGCTTTATAACTGCAGTATGTGATAGTTAAAGAAAATCTACTGGTTTTAGACTGCTGTCTGCTGAAACCAAAGGCATTAGAAACAAATGAACTATGCCTAGATAGGTAGTTATTGGATATGGGAACAAGAGTGGTATTCTGTGATGCATTTCAGTGCACTGCAGAGGAGTTTCTTGGGGAGAGGCCCAGGCAATTTGTAATGAAGGATCATTGGCAGTGTGCACTATCTCTTCAGAAGGCTATCGCTCAGATGCACAGCAGTGCACATGCCATGAGCAGCAGCTATCCTGGAATTCAGACAATGATGTGTGAGAGTCCCCTCTCTTGTGATCATTACTCCGCCAGATGACATGTGGATCCAGATAATTGAAAACCAAAGCATAAAGCAGGGTTTGGATTTATTGGAGTTTAGGTGTCTGAAGTTAGTTTTTTTGTGGAAAATGCTAAGTGCAAAATTAGTTTTCTCATAAACTGATCCCGTCCCACACCCCTTTGCCTCCCACAGCTAATTGTAATTCCTAGTTTTCCGTCCTTGTCCTTACACACATCTCTTACAATTATTGTGTACAGTAAGACACAGTGTTTGTATTCTGTCTCATTGCCTGTACTAAATTTCTTAATATAATTATCCACTTTTATCAATTCAAAGAAAAGATTTTTTGAAAGCTGCAGTGAGGACCATAAAGGACAGGGAATGCAAGTAAACAGGGACCCAACTCTTTAAAAAAGCTGGGCTTTTAAAAATTGCTTAATCAAAAGTCCCCAAAGTTTTCCTTGACTGAGAGTTGAGACCACTCTTCTTAAACTACAGCATGGTCCTTCCCCTGACATTCAGCCCATTTTAAAATATGTGTGTTTCCATTTCAAGTTAGGTGCAGGAAAAGAGAAGGAAACTGCAAGCCTCTAATTTAGAGACGAGCATAAAAATCATGATGCATTAAGGAGATTACTGTGACAGTAGGTTAAAATAATTTAGGTACAATAACTTGGCTAAATAATGATTGTATTGGTAGGGGACCATGATAACTCTCTATTAGGATTTGAAGGGTGTAAACACCCAGGAGGGAGTGGAATTTAGTAAGGGTAACAACTGTAGAAATGTGATTAAGCAAAGATTAATGTAGGCTGCAGTGCGTAGGAGGCAAAATACATTAATTGTGAGACCTAATAGACTGTGGGATAATCATTCAAAGGGAAAGGCTGGAAATATATCATAGTTCAGGATACCTAAAGCTAAACTGGTCTGAACCAAGCATAGGAAAATACATTGTAGGTTAAAATCCTATTTTTGGATGATGGGGGCTTCTGTGATATAATAAAGTGTTTTATCCATCTCTAAATTGTGTGACTCCAGCTTGCTTCCTGTATTAAGCTGAATCATTTATGGGATACATATCAGTTCATTCATTCAATCTCCATTTTTAACTTTACTTTTTGATGTGATTGTCTACACATCATGCTTATAATGTATTAATAACAATCGGTGCCTCTTTGGTGCTCTGAGAAAATTGTATTTTGCATCAGCCTCTTGGGGCTGATTGTGATCTTAGAGCACTCCCTGTGACCTTGGGTACAATAACCACTCAGCTAGGGATATTTTGATAAGTGGCCTCCTTCATCTCTCCTGTTGAAACTAGGGATGTAAGCGTTTAACCAGTTAACTGATTAACCAATTAGCTGATGCTTATTGGTTTCTTTTAATAGTTAAACTCTGCTAAGGTCCATGTCTACTAGCTCCATGCCCTTGCTGCTGGCCTGTAGCCTGGGGCTCTGCTGTTGCCACACCTGGGGTGCTGATGCTTCCTGCTATCTCAGAGCTCCAGGCTCCCCCATGACCAGGTTCTGACCTGTCTCCCAGTCCGTCTCATGGGGGTCTACCTAGGAATATAAGCGACTAGTCGACTATCCAGTAAGCAAAAGCTTATCGGACAGTCGACACGCTAGTCAACCAGTCTCTTCCCCTCCCCCTTGCTGCCTCTATCACAAAGAGGCAGCAAGTTGGGGAAGAGGAGAGGGTGCTGGGGGGAGCCAGATTAAAAGCCAGTTCACTCCAGCTCCGTAGGAGGGGCAGGGGCGCAGTAGCTGCGTTCGAACTTTGAACAAGAGTCCCCACTGGGGTTCTTGTACATTTTAAAGCAGAATTGCCTGCATGGAGCCTGGGGCCAGCAGGGGACTCTGAATCCCCCACTGACCACAGGGTGCATGAGGGTGCTTCTGCTTTGAAATGTAGATTTCAAAGATTGAAACGCCACATGGAACCCGGGGTGTGCGGGGGACCCCCTGCTGGCCCTGGGCTCCACGCCACGTTTCAGTCTTTGAAACGTACAAAAGTCCTCAGACACATCACATTCATTCTGGCAGTTCTAAGGTAGGCTGCAGGTGTAGCATAGTTTACTTCCGATTTCACAGGGGGGTGGAGCTGGCTAGGCATCAACTTCCTGGAGACCGACCATGACGCCATGACAATTCCTGAAGTCCCTTGGGTCTATGAGAGGGCTAATGCCTCTGGTTCAGTCCCAGGTTTCACAGGCTGTTACATCCCTTCCAAGAGGTGATTTTTTTCTTGGACACTTGTCAGTTAATTTATATACTTTGCAGGGTCCTTTCTCACCTTTAAAGGTTATAGATCCTAGACTGCCTTATGATTGGGTATTTCTCATTCACACTTTCCAGTTCATTCCAATGATTACATAAGCTTGCTTACATAAGCTCTGCTAGTCTAACAAAAGCCTAATATAAATTGTTTTGCTTGACATAACAAGAAAATTAACATAAATTGTAGCTGAGAGAGCCAGAATCAAGGGAAGGGAGATGCAGGGGTATGTGTCCAGCCAGCTAGACTCCAGTGGTTGGGGGAGGGGGTCATGTCCAGCTGGCTACAACACGCACCCCTCATCCGGAATTATCTCGTCTCACAATATACCTCAAACCTCTCAGCTCATCCATTTTATGCCTCTTTTTCTGAAGACTTTCACTTGGTCGGCCATCACTTCACCAGATTCTATTGCCTGATGGTTCTTTATTTCCTGGGCTTCATTATTCATCTCCTCTTCGGTTAGGTCAGGCTTAAATACCACATTAGGATCACATTAGTAACTTTTACTTCAAAGGGATCTGCATAATGTAAGTGACTCTTGGAGTATTGTTTCAACCTCTTCTTTATTTGATCAGGCATTACTAGCAGTGTCCCCTAGTCAATGTGCTGGAACTATCATCACTGCCTCCTTTGGTTATTATGCTAAGCATTCGCTTCACAAGAACCAGCTGAGATACAGAAAGTACCTGAGTCCACGGGAGAGGTTCCTGACTGTGGATCATAAGAAGCACTGCCCTGCAGCCCAGTATTAGATGTCTATCTCCAGAAGGGCAGGACATAAGCACACATTCCTCTCATTGCCTACTACCCATGTGTAACTTAGGTGGCCCCCACCTAGCATGCTGGCTTTTGTACATTCCATTTTTAGGTGACTCTTCCTCCCCCATTCACTGCTTTGGGAGTTGTGGTGTTAACTCAGAGTTTGTGGGTTGCAGTGATTTTTCTAGCTGCTCAAGTCCTTTTGTGGATCGAAGCCATAGAGTCTTTCCCCTACACTCCTGGTTCAAATTCACCACACTTGGGCTGTGATCAAACATCCATGCCATTGAGAGTGGCTAGGTGGCCTGGTTAAAAGTTTGTTGGTATTTCATCCTAATTTTGGATGAGTATGTGTTTCACAAAACAATCACCACCACCACTTTTGCTTTTCACTGGCAGAATCAGTGGAGCAAAAACATAAATTACCTTTTGGCCCCTCAGCCTGGTTCTTTCACAACATAGCTGAGATACCTTGAAGGGGATGTTTTCAAGGTAATGTTTTTGCTATTTTGTAGCCAAAGAGAGGACCTCAGTTCCCGCTAGCAGTGTTCTTTCACTCTTCACGAGCTATCAATTCCTTTAAAAAAAAACCAACATCAAAAACTTTGCTAGAGAGTAGGAGGTTGGTCTGGTAACCTTGACTAAAATGTCCCCTCTGTTGTTGTGCGGTTTGCTCTGTACTGTTTAAAACCTGTCCTTCATTTTAGTAATGCCCATGTGTCAGTGGTGCTGTTGTATAATTTAAGTGGTCTAGAGTTTCTTATAGGTTGAAAGGCACAGTTCTATGGCCAGTCAGTGTGAAGTTGTTTATGGCATTCTATTTAATTCAAATCAAAATGGGAGAGATGGAAGATACATAGTATACAATCTGTTTTCACTTTAAATTGAGTTGCCATGTTATCGCCTGTCTGTACATACAGTTTTTTCTTACACGTTCTATGGCAAATACAGCAGATCATTTCTTGGAAATATCCACCGCAGCCAAGAAGTTTGCATGTAATGCATTGTCATTTCTCTCCACTAGTCAAGATTATGTTCTGGTTAAGCTTGGAAAGCAAATAGCTCTACAGGTACACAGCAATGGCATCTCAAGAACCAATCAGACCTTGCAAAATTATGTTCACTGGAATCATTAGTTAACTGCATAGTCTGGAATGACAAATTCATCCAAATAAATTCAGCAAGCCATAGGATGTAGTTAAGCTTGTTTCTTAAACCTCCTACTCCAAAATGTAAAGAATGTTCTTCTCCCCTAAAGGGCAGGAAAACTCTTGACTTTATGAAATTACTAGGACAGTGTTTCTTAAACTTTTTAAGACCGAGGAACACCAAACAATATTTTTTTTCTCTGAGGAACACCAAGGATTTTTTGTTGAGGAAAAAAAATAGATCAGGGGGGAAAAGGGTCAGAAGGAGAAGTTATTAAGGAAAAAAAAGGGTCGGGGGAAAGTTATTAAGCAATAAAAAAGGTTGCCTGCCTCTTTAAGGGTGGCCATTTTGAATTCTGTTGTTCTCTGTGGCACACCTCCAACTGCCTCGCGGCACACTGGTGTGCCACGGAACACAGTTTAAGAAACACTGTACTAGCATGTTCTTTGCAAGTAGGCAATTTAAGAAGACTCCGTGTTTAGAAGTAGAACCACCATATGCAGTTTGGTTAGCAAGCAGCCCATTGTCCACACAATTTTCAACGTCTTGCATGCATAGCAGTCTTCAGGGGTGGTCTGTCTAAAAGAAATCTAGTATAAGTTCTGAATGAGGTGATGCTTTTATTCTCTCTGTAAACGTAGTGACATTTTCTCCAACAAACCTCCTCAGTAGGTATTTTAAACAACCACTTTAAAGACCTCCAAGATTTCCAGTACCATGTTCTTCAGCATTTAGTTAAACCATCTGTATTAGGCAACAGTTTTTGCTGATCTCTGAGGAGGTTGCTTAAGGTAGTGTCAAATTTATTGCCATTTCTCCCTTGAAATCAAATGTATTCTTTGGTTGCTTAGCTTCCCACCATCCTTTATAATAACTTAGCATATTTTGATTATTAATTCATTTTTTTCATTGCAGTGCCTGATTACTTTTTTCTTCCTCTATAACCTTGTTTTCATTTTCACAAAAACTTATTTAGGTTGTTCGATTTCTGGTGAATCCACTATAACCTTACTGTTGTTCGGAGATCTAGTTATTATTAGACTGTTTACTCCTCATTCTGAAGTTTAATTATGTTTTTCCGTCTGCCGTTGGTACAGGTGCAGCAATTAGATGGCATTCAGTCTGTCTCAAGTTCATTAAATAGATTTGTTATTGCCATCTTTTATATTTTAGGTGCTTTAAATAAGTCACTCATTTTTTAATGGATTGGATTCAAGTTTGGTGTTCTTCTGCATTGGTAGTACTGAGAAATTTCTTGTTTTAGGTTTCCCCAATATCATGAATTATCAGTCAGTTCAATCCAATCTACCCCTAACATTAAAAAAGCCAGCTCTGACTAGAGGTGTTTGTGGCTGGTTTTTTTTAAGGTAGATTTGCATGTCCACATGCATACTCGTTCTCTCATTCTCTGTGTTTTAGTATATATTTTGATGCATATACTTGCATCTTCTAACTGTTCCCATATAACGGGAGCTAGCGGAAGTGGTTTAATAGTCAGTTAAGATGAATGAACCTCAGCAAAGGGTGGTGGGGGAGAAGGGAACAGTTCCAAGATTCCCAGGGCAAAACTGGTTATAAGAAGTTGTTTGCGAATGTACTGATCTGGTTTCCTTGGCAACAACTGAGATGAAGGTTGTGAACAGCAATTGCATTAAGAGAGAGCCAGTTCTGTCTATGACAGTGAGGAAGAACTAGAAATCTGTTAATTCCTAGATTTAGCAAATGGGAGCCCTATTTGGAGTGTATGTGTATCAGGGAGAAAGAGAGTATATGTAATCAGTCCCTTAGGATTTACAGGAAAAGTCTATTCCATGTGTAGACCTCTTCTGTGCCACTGCAGCACCAGCTCCCTCCATCTTTGGACCTGAAGAGAGCTTTCTGAAGAAATCTAGATCCCCATGTGGGGAGAGCATGGACCAGGGCGGGGAAGCAGGTAGGCTATGTTCACTCCCTGCGGCAATGAGCTGAGGATCTCCAGAGGAGTTAGTGCAGTCTGCGACTACATTAACTGTTCAGCTGCTTCACTCTATGCTGTGGCACATGCGATGCGTGACACTTGCAACTGCTTTTAGTGCATCTTTAAATTTCTACAGATCTGGCTAGCTGCAAAGCTGCTGCCATTTTCTGATGCAGCATATTGCAGAGGAAATGTGCATCATGCTCTCTCTTGGGGGATCTTACTTTTGTTCCCTATATGTTTTGTTTCTGTTTAGGAATTTGGAATGGATTCAGTGGGAATAAGTAAAAATTACTATAGAGTACTTACTGGAGTGAAACCAGACTTAGATAATATTTCAGTCCTGATCATGTATGGAACTCACAGTATAGAAATTAATGAAGCACTGTGAGTAGAGTCCATTCATATTTGTTTTCTCTTGACTTTCGGAACAAAAACCATATATACTTGATTTAGTGCATGAGGACTGAAGTGTAACAAAGTAATTTTACCTGAGCACCCAAGTTTCAGTGGGCAGATATTCAATCCTGCCAGAAATAACATTTGGTTTAGTAGTCAAACCTTGTAACAGTGACTAATACATTTTATATATAAAAATACATTTTATATATAAAAATGTCAAAGTATGTTTTCTTTACAACTTCCTGTGCTTTGCCAGTGTCCAGAAAACGTGTTCTGGTCCATTGTTTGCAAGAGGACTGTTCACTGGCTACTGCAACATAAATCCATCAAGTACAGGACAGGGGCACAAAAGCATCTGCAAATATTTAAACAGCAAATGACCTTGAAGATTGAAGGGATGTACATAATTCCAAGTAATAGCTTGAAATTAAGAAAAACTGAGGTTGGCTAACCCAAAATATTTCTTGACAGTGAGATCTATCAGGGAAGGAAAAAGTTCTGTCAGTTGAGAGACAGAAAATTAGACTGAATAAGGAACTAGAAAATCAACTGTGGGTAAGTCTCCTGCACCAGCAGATGATATAGGTGTTTTCTGTTTCTAACTTGTATTACTCTGATTCTTGTTTGAAGCCAAGTAAGTATGAGAATTAATGACAATAAGCCACATTTAGAGGTAAGTTAATTCTACGTAAGTTCAGAGGGGACATTAACTGATGTAACTTATCCCTGCTTCCGGTAGCCACTGTACCAATGTCTGAAGTGACCTGAGGAAAAAGTCCCTTGAACTGCATATCATGGACACAATGTGTGAATTGTATGGCTGTTGAGAACTGGTTTTACGATATGTGTAAAGAAGAGGCTCTGCCTTCACAGTTCCTAGCAAAAATCTTAATTTACATCAGACTTCAACATAAGCCCTGGTTTTGCCTGCATTTCTGCTGCTCAGCCTGCTGGCTCCCTCCTGCAGTGACATTTGTTCAGTGACAGAAATGTTGACCATTGTGTTAGTCCTCTGAATGTTGATTCATGTTTTACTTTTTGCCTGTCTGTGTGTGTGTCTGTTTGTTCAAGAGCTCCTAAACAGTAAGAGCTAGGACCACCAAATTTGGTATGCAGATTCCTTTTATCATAACTTAAAGCAAAGTCAGGGTTTCGTTGTGCCAGGAAAATGTAATTGCTTCTCATAAAGCGGGAGGGGGAGGGGACCTAAGACCCAGGGGCCAGAGGCAGTCCCTGGCTTGCCTAGATCCAGCCCCTGAGACTCAGGGCTCCCCCCAACATGCTGGTGCTCCAGCCCACCTCCAGTTTCTCACTTGTGTGTGCCCCCCTCCCTGACTGATTTTTCTGTGAGTCAACAGTCCTCACCCCCAAAAAGGTTCCCCACCCAGCCATACAGAAGAGACAGAATCATCAAGCAGGTGAAAGGGAAAGACTAGGTCATACCCCCTCCCCATCCAGGACTGCCCCATTTCCAAGCCTTCCACCCACCAGGTGCCTTTTAGAGAGTACATGGGGGCTGAAGCTCCCCCCCTTTCCCCAATTTGCTGGCTGTTCCCCTTTGTCAGAGAGCAAAGGGAAAGGGCACAGTTTGCTGCATTCTTCACGCTGTCTGGGGAGCAGTGGGACATGCACCCCTCCCCCAGCTATGCATGCTGTACCTGCAGCTGCTGTGGAGAGGTGTTTCTGTGGTGAGAGGGAGCAGGGGGAGTCCTCTCTCCTCATAGCAGCCTGCATACTGAACCCCTCGTCCCAAGCCCCACCTCAGAGCAATGATTTAAATGCTCCAAATGAAGCATGTACGTTTTAATTTTATTTTCCAAAAAACAAAAATTAATCGAGTTAAGGATCCAAGCAACACCAGGTAAATCTTCTAGTTAGTTTATAAAAGGCAATGGTAGTGGACTGACATATTTTGCTTTCTGGCTTTATAAAGCACTAGTAACTCAAGAATGAAATGTGGAGTTCTTAGAAACAAGAGATATACAGGAAATTGTGTCTGTGGCATTGAAGTTACGCTTATTAGACTTCTACAGAAGGTGAATTAATAAATCTGTGGTGATGTGCATGTCTTTGTAGAGTGTTCACATACTTTGAAACACTGTCAATGGATGCATTTAATATAATGGACCTGAACTGGGAAGACCATTACATCATTTACTTATAAAAGGCAAAAGCTTTTCCCAGAGTGTAGTTAAGGGTTTGGAAACTCATTTATTTTTTAAATTATGACACTCCAACAAATGGTATGCCCATCATTTGAAAGGTAGATATGGGCTTATCTAATATTTAAAACCTATTTGTGAGCTAACCACCAAAGCAGAAGGAATGACCCTGAATAAATATTAACGGAATAATTAGAAGAGTACTGCAGTTTGAAGAAAGCTGCCACTTAAAGTTTTTGCAAATCCCAAGGAATCACGCTGGGGGTGGGGAACCTCAGGGCTTGCTTGGATCTGGCCCCAGAGGCTCAGGGCTTTTTTGGTTTTTGATTTTTCTGTGCATCAGTGGCCCTTGACCCAAAAAAAGGTTCCCAACCCCTGACTTATGCCTAGATTCACAAAGGTACACAGAAAGACACTACAATCACCAAGCATGAGTTAGGCATCTGGGCACTCTAGATGATGAAGGGGCAACTCACAAAAGCCAGCACACTAGGCAGCATGTCACTGCGAGGGGTGTGTGGTAAGCCCCACCACTCTCAGGGAGAAACTCTGAAGTTTACAATTGAGAAAGGTGTCCAAGGTGGATTTTTCAAAAAAGTAAGGGAAGAGGGAACATTGCTCTTAGGACTTTAGCCCCGTAGTCAGGGTACTCAGCTGCTTTTCCTTCACAGAGAGTTGCAGAATTCGGGTTAATCTGAAAAACTGGAACTTTATTAAATATTCTGGACAGCTCTGTCCATGTGACTGAATTGCTTCTAGGCTAACACTATGCATTTCTATTGTCCAGTCAATAGTAGCTCTTCCAGGAGACATGGGACTCTCTGACTGAAGTTCTACTGGTCAATATACACGTGGTTCAAGTCCCTTCTCTTGTGATCTGAACGGGGATCTGTTACAGCACAGGTGAGAGCCCTGGGCTGTGAGCTATTCTGTTATGGGTAGAGATGTCATAGTGTAGTCAAATACCCGATTAACCTATAATCTTATCAACTACATTAGCTAGATTAACCAGTTAATCTTAACTATACACATCTTCCCCCATTGTTGCCTCTGTATCAGAAACAGCCAGGGGGAGAGCTGGTACAAACAGGAAGCCCGCAAGTCAGCTCCCCGCGCATACCTGCACATGCAAGCTGCTTCCCGCCCTCCCAGCCCCACGCTGCTGCCTCTCTATCAGAGGCAGCAGCACGCACGGGGGAGGGGGGAATGAAGGAGGAGAAGGCGGGAGCTGATATTCATGGGGAGCTGGGTGTTATGCCGGCTCTTCTTGCATGCCATGTGCCACAGAGGCAGTGAGAGGGGGTAGGCAGGAGCTGGTGCAAGAGGGGAGCCATCTGCATGCCCCTCCCAAGTGCTGCTGCCTATCAGAGGCAGCAGTGTGGGGGCAGGGCAGGAGAGGCTGCCATGTCCTCAGCAGGCCCAGGCTCACCACAGACAAAAGCTGCTCCACGGGATGTCAGCGCAGCCTCTGTCCGTAGGGAGCTCGGACCCCCTGTGGACAGGGGCTGCTGCCACCCTGAGGCAGCAGTGCGGGATGGAAGGTGGGAGCTGGTCTGCGTGGGGAACTGGTTCCTAAACCAGCTGATACAGAGGCAGCAGCCCCAGGGTAGCAGGGGGCTCTGGCTGCCAGTACTGCCCCCAGGGACTATTGAATAGTCGTGTAACTGCTAAGATTTCATGCAGTTACATGACTAATTAATTGCTATCTAACATCCTTAGTTATGGGAACTTGGTTTCTCCTGTTGAAGCTGTTCTGTTTTGGCTAAATGAAGTGGTATCACAGGAGGGTGACTCGGTCATGGCTCTTGAACATCCTGGGTGAGTGCAGTAGCTCTTAAGCTACAATAACTCACGTGTACACACTCAGCCAACGACATTTATTTATCCACAATGGAACAACGTCCCACAGTTGAGAGATGGCAAATCCATTTAAATCCTCTCCCCCCTTCGTGGCAGGACTTGAGGCAGGAGTCTCTTCTAACATGAATACCTGGACTTAAAGTGCTGGGAACAAGGTGTTTCTCCTCCTGCCCAGCCCCACCATTTTGTGAGAACTTGCCTATAGAACCTTATGCACTAAAGTGAGTTTGAGCACACTTATCACCTAGCCTTCCCTCCTCCTCCCAGGCAAGTTTGATAGAGGAATGCCTATTCTTCTCAGGTTCCTGTGTCAGGCTGGGGCTTAGGCATCTGGATATCCAGCATGGAGTTGCAGTGAGCAAGTGCAGATTCAGAAACATAGATACCTAGGGAACTTTTACTGCAACAGTGTAGGTGCCAAGAGAGTTTAGGCATCAGCAAGGTTTGGAGGCTGCTGAGCAAGGGGATTTTGAATCCTAGTCAGGCTTGATTTGGGGATTTAGGCTCAAATTGTATTTCTCAATTGATCTTGACTACACTTTTGGTTCAGTATTAAAGTTCAAGAGACTAAATAACCAAGCTCCATTCATTTATTGTATAGAAACAAAGTACAAGTGTGAAAAGGAGGCATATCTACCACTTCCAGGAAGCTTTTGTTTCTTCCCATGCAATTCGCTTTTCACAGATGTGCTCCTCCCATGGATGTGAGCCAGCATAGACACAGTTATCTCTTTACAAGTTAAAGAGCACTCTTTGTCACCCAAAACTAAATTTAACCAATGAGCTGTTTTTATCTTGTTCTTCTGGTGTTATGGTGTATTTTTCCTTTGCTCTTTTGGATACTGTATTCCAAACCAATTGTCCATGCAGGTACCTCCATAACTGTATCAGGCGGGACAAACCATAACTATTTATTGCCATTTACAGGTTTCCTGTTTTACAGTTCTAAATCTGACTTTTGCAAAGTGTTGTGGGATACTTGGCATAGGTGAACAGAATTATAGGAAAAATATGATGCATGTCAGGTAACCTAACTACACAACATTCCTATATAATATCATGTACACAGCATTAGTTGTGCGTGTGTGTATATAATATGTTGGAAAATAGGAACCATTTAGGGGCCTACGTCCTTTTGGGTACATCTACACTGCACGGCTACCCCGCATCTACACAAGCCACCCGTTATTTTGTAATATTTTTGGAAATAACGGGTGTGCTATTTCGCCAACCTGGTCAACTTTATTGCTCAAAGGATAAGGGATGGCTTGAAATAGCACATTATTTCGAAATTTGGTGTCATGTATATGTGCCAAATTTCAAAATAGATTTGAAATAAGATACGCAATTTGCATAGTGCAAATTGTGTTTCTTATTTTGAGTTTAGGGTGCTGTGTAGCTGCACCCTTAGTGAATCTAGCCCAGTTTAATACTGCTACAAGACAAATTGAGGCAGGTGCTGTTTTACATATGAGTATATAAACAGGTAAAAGAACTCAGCAAAAAAAGGTAAAGAAGGCAAAATTGTAGGAAAAGATAGGGAATAAGAAAATCCAAGACAAACACTTTCCCCTCCTTTGTAACCAAGTGTCTTCTGTACATTTCAGGAGGTTATTTTTCTTGTTTCCATTTGTCATTTATTTTCTCCATAGGCACTGCTGTAGTGATCATTACCACAGAATGAGAATGTGGCATCTTCAGCATTTCTAATCCTATCTATGATCAAGCACTGGAGTAGGCAGGCAGAGTTCAGTGACTGAATATGAACTCACACGATGCTTTTCAGGAAGAATTTGACAAAGCACACTAAAGCTTCTGTGTGATAAATAGAGATAGTGCAATAGAGCCAGAAACTTTGAAGAGCTGATATGTGAAAGCCTGAAAAGCATTCAAACAGTTAGGGTACGTCTACTACACAGTAGTGTTATTTCGTTATAAGTGACGTTATTCTGAAATAACATAGTCTGTGTCTACAAGCAGTTGTTTCAACATAATGTCAAAATAATGGCGAGCTGGAGGACTTCTTACTCCAACTCCTGTAACCCTCATTGATGAGGAGTAAAGGAAGTTGGAGGAAGAACACACTCTTGGACTGCCTGCTGTGTAGACAGCGCCAAAAGCCGAAATAAGGTATTTCGACTTAAGCTACACAATTGACATAGCTCAAGTTGCGTATCTTATTTTGGCTTTAGCCCTGCTGTGTAGACGTGCTCTGATAGACTTTGTCTGTTTTTGTTTTCTCTGTCAAGGTAACATGGGGGTCTAAAACACATGTAATAAATAAAACTGATCTTACATTGATTGGTGGCCTTACTAGAAAATCGAATCCTCCTATTAACTGCTGGAAGCAGTTGTTTTTAGGCCAGCTGACTATCCTTATGTGTATTTCATCATACACATTAATCACAGAATTTAATCAGTCATTTCATGGAACCCATGTTTTTTTACGGATAGAAAGTAATTTATGATTCACCTTACTATTCTTTCTCTAGGTTAAAGATTCACCAAGCAAATGTACTCGAAGATGGCCTCAGCTCCAACAAATCCTGAAGTTACTTGCTCTTTGCTAAGTATTTGCTTTTGTTCAGCCCTCCTGATATCTGAAAAATATTTCCTGAAAGACAGACTTCTGTTTTAACCATTAAACTACCAAAGTTAGCTGCAGATCTATCCATAGCCTTTTTCTGGCAGCCAAAATGAAAAATGGCAACAACTGAAGAGTTAAAAGGAAGACTTTTTGGCTCTTCCTCCTCCCAGTTCAGGTCAGTCAGTGATGGCATGCAATGACACTCACGTTGCTCTCAATGAGAGTACCCCACCCATAGGCTCCCATTACACAGCTGTGCCTGTCCCACTCAGGATAGTGTTGGTAATAATAATGGTATTCATGATCGCTATTGGATTTTTTGGTAATGCCATTGTCTGCCTCATTGTCTACCAGAAGACAGCCATGCGTTCAGCCATCAATCTGCTGCTAGCTACTTTGGCCTTTTCGGACATCATGCTGTCTTTGTTCTGCATGCCTTTTACTGCCATTACAGTTATTACAGTGAACTGGAACTTTGGAGCGCACTTCTGCCGAATATCAGCTATGCTCTATTGGTTATTTGTCTTGGAGGGAGTCTCTATACTCTTGGTCATTAGCGTGGACCGTTTCTTAATCATTGTTCAGCGGCAAGACAAGCTGAATCCTCACCGTGCCAAAGTTATTATAGTCATTTCATGGGTACTGTCCTTTTGCATTTCCTTTCCTTCAGTGATTGGATGGACATTTGTGGAAGTGCCAGCCCGGGCCCCTCAATGCGTTCTGGGGTACACTGAATTACCTGCTGCCAGAGCAGTTGCTGTGACACTAGTTGTAGCAGTTTTCTTCATTCCTTTCAGTGTCATGCTGTATTCTTACTTTTGCATTCTAAATACTGTGCGGCGCAATGCCCTCAGGATCCACAACCATGCTGAGAGCCTTTGTTTGAGCCAGGTGAGCAAACTAGGCCTCATAGGTCTACAGAAGCCTCAGCAGGTGAATGTGGACATGAGCTTCAAAACCAGAGCCTTCACTACAATTCTCATTCTGTTCATTGGGTTTTCACTCTGCTGGCTTCCACACACCGTGTTCAGCTTGCTCTCTGTATTTAGCAGACAGTTCTACTACAGCCCTTCTTTCTACAGCACCAGCACCTACATCCTGTGGCTGAGTTACCTTAAGTCAGTATTCAATCCTGTCGTCTACTGTTGGAGAATCAAGAAATTTCGTGAAGCCTGTATGGAGTTCATGCCTAAAACATTCAAGATCCTCCCTAAAGTGCCTGGGCGAACAAAGAGGAGAATACAGCCAAGTACAATATATGTATGTAGTGAGACACAGTCAGCTGTTTAGGAAGAAGTTACAGGGCCAATGGGAAAAGTTATGAAAGGATTGGTTAAAGTAGGCAATGGTTTATTTCTATTATTTACTTTCTGCAGTTGTCAACTATCTTCAAAATGATTCTATGCTAGATTGTTTGTGTGTTATGAATGCATTTCTAACTTCTCCCAAGATTACAAATAACGTAGTACTGCTTCAATTAAAACCACTTGGTGCATTAATGTTGCAATACTTGATGTCATGCAAAAATGTCACTTGTGACCAAAAATATAGTCTAATAGCACTTTATTAACAGATGAGAGCCTATGTCATCCTTTAAAAAAATGTGGTTTCATCACACAGTTCAGTTGTAGAAAACACACCAAGAACAGAAATAAGGCCTAAGTCCACAGTATCAAGCTCTAGAACAAAAATAGTTTTTAATTCTACTCATTGCCAGGTAACTGCAGGGAAGGTTGCATAAGTATAGTTAAAATGGCTGCAATGTCAGATTTTAGGGAGGCTGTACAGAAAACAAATATTTCAATTACAGTCCCCTTAGAGTAGAAGATATGTTTAAAATCTGTACCAAATTAAAATTACAGGTTTAGAGAAAAGCATAGTACTCCAAATTATCTGAACATCATTCTAACATAGGTGGTTAATGTTAAGGTATAATAACTTATGGCCTGAAAAGCACACGACAAAAAATATTATGAATCTCAGACTTTTCCTCAAGATAGGGCAGCTGAAGCTACTTTACAGTTGGATGCAAATACAATACCAAACTATTGCATGGCCAGACTGTCAAAAACAAGTTAAACACCAGGTTACTTAAGGTCTTTTGATGCCAGTGGACTTTCCAAATGCACATCATATAAACAGCAAACAATGTGAAATGTCAATCACAATGAACATATCAGCCCAGGCAATCCTGCAGCATAATGTCGTCATTAAGCATACTGTAGATTGATAGTATGTATGAACCTGTCCCACAGGACATCCTGTTCACAACTCTGAGGACATTTGGCTGAGGGATTTGAAAATGCCAAGGCTTGCATGTATATAATGCAACTGCAGTTGCAGTGTCCTACAAAGCTGTAAGGTTAGGATGACAAAACCTCTTTCACATGGCTGTAACAGACTCTCTCTGCTCTGTGTCCATGGTGATACATAGAACTGAACATCAAAGACGGCCATCATTTGAGCTAAAGCAGCAACTATAGCTGCTAGCAGGAGGCAGTCCTTATGAGCAGTCAGATAGGAACATTACAACTAATGGCACCCAGTGAAAATCTGAAGAATCTTTTTAAAGGCAGCATTGTGATGAGGGGCATTTTTACCAACTAGCCAGGTGTCCAGGTCACTGGGCTGGACTATCAATTATTCTGCTTATAGTATTTAACCAGTTAGTAGGCCTCTGCAGGAATTCAGCATAATTAAGGCAAAGCTTGGAGGAAGAAGGCAGTGATTACATGGAGTGAGCCTGATTCAGTGTTCTCTTTGATATTCTGGGGCAGGGCTGGATTAAGTGTGGGGGCTAGCTGGGCAGCTGCCTGGGGTGCCTGATGGCAGCTGTAAGGTGTGCAGCGTGCCAGGGGGTGGGGCTGCACATGTGTCGTGCACCCACTGCCCGGGGCACAGGAATGGCTCGAGCCAGCCCTTTGGGTAAGTATCTGTGAAAGACAGGAAGTCTCTCTGTATTTGACTTCTGCTGGGCGGCTGTGTCAGTGCCCATGGGACTGTAGACTATGCAAAAACACAATTGTGTAACAGCTTAAGTTCTTGCTTAGTTTTTTCTTTGATGTAATTGTAGCCATTACTAACAAACGGGGTAGACAGGTCTGAGGAATTTGGATTCGACCTGGATAGGACCTAGATAGGACTTGGAATTCCTAGTGACAGGTTTATAGCTGGCCACTAGAACCCTGTTTGGCCACTTAAAACCCCTTCAGACAGGTAACTAATGTTTGGGAGTGCTCTGTACCCTATTGTGTTTGTATGTGCTTAAGTCTAAGGCTATGTCTATACTTCACACTTTACAATGGCACCATTGTGCCATTATAGCTGCACCATTTAAGGTTAGCAGGGTAGCTGCTCTTTGTCAGCAGGAGAGAGTTCTCCTGACAATCAAATAAAACCACTCCGAACAAGAAGCATTAGCTTTGTTGATGGGACAGCGACTCCCACCAACAGTGCTGTCCACACCGATGTTTTTTGTTGTCAAAACTGGTCATTAGGGGGTATTATTTCTCACTTCTGAGCAACAAAAGTTGTAAGGATGAAAGTGCAATGTAGATATTCAGGAGAGCTGGCAGCCACACCGGGCCCCTGGGCAAGGTGGAGGGGAACCCAGATCTGTACTCTCAGAAGAGGCAGGGCCTCAGCAAGAAAGGACAGGGCCTGGGCAGCCAGCTCTCAGCACTGCCCAGAAAGCCCCTCAATGGTAATTTAAAGGACGTGGGAATCCATGCACTGTCATTGCCATAGAACCCCAGGCCCACCAAATACTCCCTCTCTCCCTCTGTCTGTCAGCAGTCCAGAAGACATGGTCTAAAGAAATCACAGACTTAGAGCAAAATCTTTCCAGTGAGGCTATGTCTACACTGCAGGCTTTTGCTAGCAGAGAGTATGCTAAATGAAGCACTCATTAGCATTTGTCGCACTGTCATTTTCATATTCTCTGCCCATGCTTTGTGCACAAGAGGTTTTTGCCTCCTTTGAGGCATAAGGATCTTGTGCAAAAGGTTTTTTTGCGCAAAACGGACCCATCTGCACTGCTTGTTTTTGCGCAAAAGCCTCTTGCATAAAAAGCATCGTCAGAGAATATGCAAATAACTGCATAACAAATGCTAATGAGTGCTTCGTTAGCATATTCTCTGCTGACAAATACCTGCAATGTACACATAGCCTGAGAGTGTTAAAGGCTACTAAAATGAAAGCTTCATGTAAAAGCGCTTCATTAGGTGCTGCCCAATAGCAGGTGCTGTGTCTCATTTATTTCTTGAAATCACCTCAGAGAGCAAAGTTACTGACAGCTTTGGATTTAGGAAGCCCCAGGTAGGTACCTTAGATTGGAAGATGATCATTAGGCCTCAATTGGAGTATTGTATCTAGTTCTGGGCAACACATTTCAAGAAAGATATGGAGAAACTGGAAAAGGTCCAGAGAAGAACAACAAGAATGATTAAAGGTCTAGAGAACATGACCTATGAAGGAAGACTGAAAGAATTGGGCTTATTTCGTTTGGAAAGGAGAAGACTGAGAGGAGACATGATAGTGGTTTTCAGATATCTAAAAGGTGTCACAAGGAAGAGGGAGAAAATTTGTTCTCCTTGGCCTCCAAAGAAAGATAAGAAGCAATGGGTTTAAATTGCCGCAAGGAAGGTTTAGGTTGGACATTAGGAAAAAGTTCCTAACTGTCAGGGTGGTTAAACACTGGAATAAATTGCCTAGGGAGGTTGTGGAATCTCCATCTCTGGAGATATTTAAGAGCAGGTTAGATAGACATCTATCAGAGATGGTCTAGACTGGTGTGGCCAACCCATTACAGAGGAAGAGCTAAAATAATGGTGGATACAGCGCAAAGAGCCGAGGGGAAAAAAGTTGTTGAGCAAAAAAAAGCCTCGGCTGCCACCCTCTAAAGAGCAGAGCAGGCATTGCCCTTTTAAGGTGGCCATTTTGAAGTCTGCACGGGATGCTGCGACTCTGGCACTGTCTCTTTCAGACCGAAATATGCTGCCCCTTTAAGAGCCGTGAGCGCGGGAGCCACAATTTTTTCTTTGAAGAGCTGCATGCGGCTCACGAGCCGTGAGTTGGCCATCCCTGGTCTAGACAGTGCTTGGTTCAGCCATGAGGGCAGGAGACTGGACTCGATGACCTCTCGAGGTCCCTTCCAGTTCTAGTGTTCTATGATTACCCTGCATGAAGTTGCAGTAAATATATTCCCGCTCCAGGGAGGGGGGGGGGGGGGTGGAATCTTCCAGCTGCTGTGCACATGCATGTGCATACACAGCTGATTGGAATGCACACAAACAAGCATTCAAAGAAGATCATCAATACCTGTGGTCAGATTTCTCATGACATCTTGAATAAGGGCTACAAATGGGACATGCATCAGTGTTGTACGAAGATAAAGGAGCTGAGGTAGGCATACCACAAGGCAAGGGAATCAATCCATTACTCTGGTGCTTTGCCAAAGACTTACCTCTTCTATAAGGAGCTGGAAACCATCCTCATGGTAACCCCACCTCCACTGTTAAGAGCCCCATTGTAAGAAATTTTCCCACACCAATTGGCAAAGCACTTGTGCAGGAACCAAAGTGGCATCCAGGTGAGCACGCATAAGGACTTGGTCTGAAGCTGCATGCATGCAAGAGATTCTGCATACTCTCAGGAGTGAGATACTTACTTTCATGACTCCCCCACCCACCCTCTGGAAAATGGTAACATTATAATATTGTCTCTAATTGCCTATAGTGATCCCCTTAAACAGACCTTTCCCCATTTTTTGCCTGTACTGTTTGGCTGATTTATTGCTCTACCAAGTTCATCCCTGCTGTAGTTTTAACTAACCCAATCAGGAATCATATGGCCTGTGAGTCATATAGCACCCGAGAAAGTCCATACTGCTCAACAACAACTGCGGAATCCCAATAAATGCAGACTTAGTGGACAGGAAGAGAGGAAGCATACTACATGAGAAAATCACCCTCTCCCCTCCAAAAAAAACCATCCAAATTGCCTAGTGTTCTAGAAGGAGGACAACCAGTTCACCTAGGATTTAGTACAAACATTGAGCATATCATTGATCACTTCTTAGTAGATATTTCAGTTGCCTCTAACAAGGCAACATTTCCTTCATGCAGGTTTGCTTCATTTAACAGTGATATATCAGAGCGTGTACCTCTAGAAAGCAAGTTACAAAAAGTATTTAAAATAATTTATTAAAATCAACATGTTAACATTAGTATATTCCATATGCTGCTGGATATGTTCACTGCCATACTGAGCAAGAAGTCAAAATAGCAGAAGGATAAATATGAAGATGGCCATAAAAGCAAGCTTAATCCTGGGGTGTATTTCATTGTGCAATTAGCCATTAACTTTGCATTGGAAGCAGCAGCACATTTCATAAGTGTTCACAGGGCATAAACTTGTTAGCTTACAGCTCAGCCCGTGTTCTACAGCAAGGAAACACTCTACATTAGTAATTCATAGGCATTAGAAGAACTGGAG